AAGGTGGTGAAATGAAGTGATGTATGCAAATGCAAATCTCCTTAAGGCGGATTTTGACCCCTGCACTGGTGTTAATAGGATCACATAGACGCCCGACTCTCAAGAAATAACGCTTCTTCCAAAATTAATATAACACGATGTTAATTTTGCTTGAGGAACAACACTTAACTGTACTCTTCTAGAACGAAAGATATCAAATACTAATATCGAACACGAAAGTCGAAAATAAATTAGAAATTATTTTGACACAATTTGGATAGGGAAATAATTAGAAATAAATTATATAGAATTGATTTGGGTGAAGAAAATGGAATTATTTTCATGTGTCACGTCCTAATGATTACATTTTTTGACAAAATTAATTTTAACTCTATTTCATAATTGATGGTCTAAATTGCACCTTAATAAAAGATCATGACTTTTCGTTGCACTTGAAGAGTCGCATTGTCGCACCCAGTCGTTACATCTATTGGAGACTTTTTCTAATTTACACATTTTAGTATTTTTATATACCCTTAAATTCCAATAAAACCTAGTCAAATATATAATAATTGAGACATGTTCAACGAAAATATTTGTCTTCGGTACCTCTATTACTCAAGCAAAATAAACTATAAAACTCTTAATCAACAATTTGTGAATCTTCGTTAAGATTTTAGGAATAGAAGAAAAATAAACCCAAAAGTAATAGGCAAGTTTAGGATTTTAGCTGTCACTATTTTTATATCACAGTCAATCGCAATGTGATATCTTCATTGCTACTCCATCCCTAATATGACTTCAAAGTCGAGAGCATCTAAGGTTAAAAAAATCTGCTTGTATCACTTTTCCGTCTACCATTGTTGAGAAGCCTCACAACAGACAATTTGAATTGATTATAGTTTTGGATGTATGGATACAATAAGTAGTATATCTATGAATAAGCGGTTGTTTATAGTTTTCTGACAATTGTTGATATAATATATATTTGTCATACTGGTACCTATTATTCTTGCTATATTGTCCGAACCATCAGTGCAATCTACGTATATTTCTTTGTTATTATGAAGACAAGTATTTGGGGCCATATTAGAACATTCATTAGTTTACTTACATTAAAATTTAGTAACCTTTGTGACTCATTATCTCTTTCAAATCCACTATACATTGTCAACATATAAAACTTACGCACATAACCTAAATTTAAAAAATCCATTGCCCCAACTACTTTTTCATTAACATAGTTAAAGATGTATCAACATAGTTAACTGTTATCAACCTTATATTGTAAATTACAACAATAACATATCAAATAATGATAGAAAATAAAATCCATATCTTACCACATGAATGTGAGAGGACTTCTTATGACATGACTCAATACTCATTTAATTTGTATAAATAAAAATTAAAAGTCTACAAAATCGATTTTAAAATAATTAGCTCTGATATTTACGTTGAAAATCATAAATACGGAATTTGATTAGATTTTTTCTAGTATAACATTAATGACTTTCATTTATGACAAGAATTTAATAAACTTTTGTACTTCATAAAAAATATGAGAGAAATAAATTAAGGTTAACTTTATTTCACAGTGAAGTTAATTTTTAAATATGTTAGAACTAAGTCTGTCTTGTCACAATTAGTCGTCTTAAATCATCTTGTCTTCACATTTGAAAAATAATGATGAATAACATAAAATGAGCTACCATTCAGTAAGTAAATCACATGCATATTATACATGCTTATGATATGCGTATGCATTACTTTAAAATAAATAGTTTTTCCCCAATATGTATCCTATTTTCTTTCATTTCTTTAAAAAATTAACATTATTATTAGTCAATCAGAATGTAATGAACCATTGTTATTTGGAAATTGTTAACTCTATCAATAGGTAGGAAAGCAATTAATATCAAACATGCATCATTAAACATTAATTGGGTGCATCGATCATTCATTCTTCATTTTTCTCTCACATCTTTCATGACATAAACATATACATCTTTTAAAAAAAAATTAGGATACATATCTTTTTAAAAATATTCCTTGCTACATTAAAAATTTAGAAACTTAGATCATGAAAAATATTAATGATATAATAAGCAGCAATTGAATAACATGTTCACATAATAGTAATTTAAGTAACACATTTATACATTTAATAATATAATGCTCATACGAAGATAATGTGAGATTCACTTATCTAAGAAATTAGCAATTTGCTTTTAAAATTATAAGTAGAGATGTCTCTAACCATCCATGAAGTCAACAAACCAAGAATCCTAAGTCGTCCTTATTTATTAACAGACTTCTAACATATTCATCTTTATTTTGTTATTATGAATAATTATCATTGTTGATAGTTCGCCTACTTTAAATTGCATAAAATGTTTATGCATGCTACTACCTAAATATTTGGATGCATAATCAATATGCTAATGTTGACATATTTCGGATACTTGTAGTAAGTACGTGCATTACACTTCTTATATATCGGATGAATGACCTGAAATGGGAGAGAGATAGGGGAAGGCCTTACCGAGTCACTAGCTAGCCTAAAAAGTGAGATTGGTTATAGGGCTATCTTTTCATCTGTTTTGCATATCAACGACAGCTCTGACCTTCCTGATCCTGTAACTTGTTTCTACCCTGGTAACTTAAAGATTTGTTTATGACGAGATTTGATTGAGTCAACATCTCATCAATAATAAAAAAATATTTTAGAAAGTCCTTGCTTTATCTAATTAACCCACTTTACATAACATAACAGTTTAAGCAACGAAGAGATTTTGAGAGTTTTAATTCAATTTATCGTCGTTTCATCAATCTACAAAAAAAATATTTCAATGCTGATCTACGACAAGTTTTTTTTTCCCCTTTTTTTCCCACGTTGTGGAGAGTAACTACATTCCAATTTGGGCTCAAAATTACGACTGATTTCTTTCCTTACGATGAGAATTAACTACATTCCATAAATGAAGATAGCCAACAGTAAAATTACTCCTTGGCTATCCTATAAATATAATCCCGATTTCATGATTCTTGTAAGGTTTTCCACTATAATTCTGCAGATACGGTACTTTGTTCCCTATACACCAGTTGTTTCCTCTCCTCCTATGGCTGCACAATCACCTCCTATAACTGTGACTCCTCTTCCTCATTACTCTACGCATACGCCTAGGTCCACTAAGTTATTAAATTTTGCTTACTCTTGCAGTAATATCTCTTTTGTTTCTTTTTAGCTTCTGCCCGTAGTCTTTCTAAGCCTTTATCCTATAGAGAGGCAGTTTGTAACCTATTTTGGCAGGAGGCTATGGCTGAAGAACTTACTCCTCTACTTCAGATACACACATGGTACTCGTTATCTCTATAGCTAGGAAAATGAGCAATTAGTGCTTGTTGGGTCTATAAAATCAAAACCAAGTCAAGTGGATCTGTTGAAATATACAAAGCCCTATAAGTTACTTAACTAGTACTCTCAAGAGTATGTTATAGATTAGGATGAAACTTTTGCAGCTGTTGCAAAAATGATAAAGTTCGCATCTTCATTGCAGTTGTCCATATTCATCAATGGAGTATATCTCAAATAGATATTAAAAATGCCTTCTTGAATAACGATCTACTGGAAAAAGTCTAGATGGTTTTCCCTCCCAGTATTTCTCAGGTGAAGTTTGAAGACTCGGAAAAGCTCTTTACGATCTCAAGCGGGCATCTAGACCTTTGTTTGAGAAGTTTTATGTCATGATTACTTCATTTAGTTTTCGTCCTAGTTATTATAATTCAGCTTTATGTCACAGATATATAGTCAATGGTCGTGTTTTTCTCTCTTTATATGTTGACGACGTTATTATTATTGTTGATGATGTTGATGGGATTGCAGCATTTAAGTTAGAGTTAGTTTGTTGTTTTGGGTTCATTCCTTTACTTTCAGGGTATTGAAGATGAATCCTCTTCGAAATGTTATCTTTTTTCTCATTCTAAGTATATAAATGATAGATTTGAGCATTCCCATCTTAATGTTAATAAGACTGTTGATACACCTCTTTAGCTTAATGCACGGTATTCTCCTTCTGAAGGTTCTTCATTGTCAGATCCTAGTTTATATCGTATTGTTGTTGGTAACTTGGTTTATCTCACCATCTCTCATGCAGATATTGTGCATGTTGTTCATATGATTAGTTTATTTGTTAACCCGACTGCTACAGTTCATTAGGTTGTTGTTCTTTGCATTTTGAGGTATCCTTAGAGTTGTGAGCATATTCTAGTGCTAATTGTTTAGCGATCCTATAGATTGTGAGTCTATCACTGACTTTTATATATTTCTTAATGATTCTCTTATTTCTTGAAAGTTCATGGCTTTTATTACTTGTGAATATGAGTGTATTTCTATGCTGACCTACTTCAATGTATTGTGATAATAAGAGTGATATTCAGATTGTGTACATTTTAATATTCCATGAAAGGACTAAAACATATTAACATTGATTGTCATATCACCCAACATCAGCAACAACTTAACACTATAATGTTGCCTTTTGTTCCTTTCTCCATCCATATTGCTAACTTGTTTACAAAGTCATATTCCACTTTGCAATTTTATTTTTTATTTGACAAATTCTCGATGCTTTTTACAACAACATCACGAGTTTGAGACGTTAAATATATTAATTGTTTATATTAAGGGTAGATTAATTTTTTAACTTATCTTCTAGTAAGACTATTTAAAGCTTCTTCTTCTTGTATTTTCATTATTTTCTTTTATTTTCTATATATTTTGTTCATTGATTTAACATTCTAACTTAATGGTCAGAGTAAGATCGGCCTAGAGGTATAAATGGCTACCCACGCCCAGGCAATCCGATACACCAAAAAACCTGCCTGGGACAACCTTGCATAAAAAATGAAATAAAGCATGGATTCTTCATTTTGATAGTGCTGTATCAATGTATCACGTTAATTATTAAATAAAAATTCGTAGATGCATAAGAATTTTATAAAATTTAACAAGAAAAAGATTACACTCTAGAAAAGAAATTTAATATACTGTTTTTCTTAGGTTCTGAACTCTGGCTAGGGCCTTTTTTCAATTTTTTCTCACTTTTGTTACTACTGTGCCTTTGAGTAATATTGAAAGGTTTAGAATCTACACTTTCCTGTGATTCGGTAGTGACATACATGATTTCCGAGTTTTCAATCTCAGTCACTTCAAAAGCTTGTTCAACAACTTCATCTGCCTGATCCACTAGAACTTCACCTAGTTTTCGTTTCTTGAATGGATTGTTGTTAGGAATATCAAGAACGATTCCATTTGAAACCTTTTTGTTTTCTTTGGAAGCTTCATTGCTTAAAGGGAAAGCCAACTTTTCTAGAGCTAAAGTTTCATTTGAGTGCAGCACTTCCTCAGTCGTAGGCTTCAGCTTCCTTTCCTCCAATGTATTGGTCAGACCCCTCCTCGTCGATGGAACCCCTGAGAGATTTCCTATGACATGGTAAGCATTATAATGCTCAACGTATAATTCATACGATAGAGTGAGCTATATGACTTGCCTTTGATTCTTTGTTCGCTGATTTTGTGACAGGAAATTACAGTAAAGGAGCTTTCTTGTGGAGATAAAGCCGTTGCATCTTGTCTCAAGAGTCGATTAGTAGACCTTAAAATGGTGGGGTGGTGATGATTTCTAAGTTGTGGGATGTGATCAAAAGCCTCCATTGTACTAGGGTCCATATTTCCTTCAGCAACTGCAGTTGCTAGTGAAGGGGGTAAATCTCTAATTGCAGTTAAGGAGTGAAACTTTCTAAAATAAAAAATATGGATGTGCCTGACTTCTGACATTCACAAGTTCATGCACTACAAAAAAAAATTATGAAGATGAGTGAACACGGCTTTGAAGATGCGAATGATGCAGATTGCAAACTCCCTTAGGTTATTGGTTCCAGTGGGACCAAAAAGATTAGACCTAAATGTACAATGATTTGTTTCAGAAATATCTGAAAAGTGACAAGGATACGGACCGAGGAAATCAAGCTCCTCATCTTGACGCTGCAAAAGCTCTGGTGTAAGAGGTTTGAGGGGTTTGAGTCTCTTTAAGTTTGCATCATATCTGCCATAACGTTGAAGTATTATATACTTGAGATAACAAGAAATGATAAACTGCAGGTCTTTCGGGATGCTTGTAATACATACATTCTAGCATGCTGGAAGACTGCAACTGCTTCTTTGAAGGCCTTCAGGTAATCGTCAGGCATTTGTTGTCCCTTTTCAAACTTCAAGATAGATAGAACCTGCAAATGTCACATTCATTTGAATAAAATATAATTCAAGAGGCTTTTGAGTAATATTAAGACATTGCATCGATAGTTAGAGTACGTAGAGTAGTACATGCAAAAAAAATTAAGTGATTGAAAATAAACATCAGTGAAACACTGGAAAGAAAAGATTTTTCAGCATGAGAATCTCATATATTCCAAAATGGTGCGCCCACTGTCATTACACAAAAAATAAAGCTCTCGTCTTCTCAACAGCTTTTCAAGATAAAAATTAGAAGTCAAATTTTAAACACCTGATCGCTTAGGGTTCACAGCAAAACAGAAGGTTCATTAAGTTTCAAAAGATTCTGATAAAATCAGGAATTCCAAATTTAACCCAAAACTCCAGTGAGTTTTTAGAGCAAAATCACAGATGTGATTCACAATATCACATATTAAGCCAGAGAATCATCCAATTAACAGATGGAATTCGTTGATGTATACAAATTATCTCCTGGTGTCCAAATATATGCAATTAAGCTTTAGCTTCAGTAAAAGAGAAAATGCTTGTATACCAAATAGAACTAACAGCATCCAATTCTCTTCAAATATTAGAAAGTCATCAGATTTGCAGTTAACCATCATTGGGAGAGGGCCCAGATCCTAATTTCTGCAGTATTTCCTCTTACTTCTCATTATTTCTTTCAACAAACACAGTAAGTATGATTGTGAACTTTTACCGTTCTACCAGTCCAGCAGAGAATAATTGACTATACATGAATTGCTAATGTAAATTGTCTGCTAAAGATACTCTCTTCGATGCATTGATAATATATTGAAGTTAGAAATCTGCTAAAGATGCTCTCTGCAACCCATGATGCACCAATAAAAGATGGATTTGAGTGAGAGAAGCAGTCTCCTTACCAATGAATGTCTGAGGATGAAGTGACCAAAATACTGTCACAATGACTTCCAATCCTTTCTCCTTATGCTTCTCTTTACACTAAATCGTCTTAAGACAAACAGATTCTTCTCAATTTAGACCAGAGAGTTTTAAGATCACAAGTTGCATTTTTTTTTTCAAGTTTCAGCATATCAGCAACAAAAGAAGTCAATGTATGACCTAGTAATTGGTTTAGGATTATTCAGTGTGAGCAGACATACGTAAGTTATAATCTAAATCTTCACAGAATATAGACTTAATATGGATCTTTTGCATTATCTAAAGCATCTCTATTATGCATCTACTTCACCTTGAATACATAATAAACTTATTCAGCTCTTGCTTGATCAAAGATTATTCTTACACGATCCAAATTATGATACTTGGAAACCAAATTATAGGCTTTTGCAATTCCAATCCCAGGAACTGATGGAAGGAAATCACATCCAGCTAAAATGCACATACCTGAAAATGACAGAGAATAACCCATTATAACTGATTGAGCCCGCAAAAAACAGAGAGACTCGGTACTTTCTGTCTTCTAACAAATCAATTTTCGTCCACTCTCACGGGACAAAACGCATCCAATCAATTCTTAATGGTAGTCCACCATAGGAAAAATGTGTGAAAGATGGACCGATGATTTTGCAAACCATTTAGGACAAGTTAGGTTTTTTTTGTGTGTGTGTGTGTGTGTGTATAAAAAAATCAAGATTCACGACTGTTTGACAATTGGTATGCTAAATAACTCATTGGAACATTGAAAAAGACTGTAATAAGTAATTCACATAGAAGGAAGTGAAACGAGGCACAACCCTGTTGGTGAGCCATTTGGAAAAGCCGGCAATAAGTAATTCACAGTAAAGTTTACCCTGCAGGAAGTGAACTTAACAAGGTTCTGCCCTCTTAACGACTGAATCTAATATATTTATTATGTTCATGGCACATTCCTTATTTCAGCCCAGAAGATGTTGTCTTTGGAGTGATGCAGATTTTAGGTCACAAAAGAAAATTTAAACAGCTTGAGATCGTCAAAACAAACCTGTGAATAAGGTTTTATCGAATTTCTGAAAAGAAGGTACACGACCAACAGCATTAAGAACCTTATCCAGGATTATCTCTTCACCGTTTCCATACCGGTCCATCTTAAAGATTATCTGCTTAAACCAATGCAAGTAAAGTTCAGCTGCAGTACTCGACGTTTAAGGCACCCCATCTGCCTACTTCAAAATTTAATACAAGTTCTTACAGCTGGGCAACTGTACGCTAGTAAATCACTATCCTCTGAAATTACAGCAGCAATTCCACCCTCTTCAGCCTTAAAGGTGGACAGGTATGCTAATTGGGCATCAGCTTCATATGGAGCTACAACAAATTCGATATTCTCTGACCTCAGAATCTGTAAATGAAAGAATCAGTTGTATCACTCACATATGGAACTCTAGATAAGCATCAAAATTGCATTTCTTAACATGTTAGATCCATAATTCACGGCAATTATTAATTTATCTGCTGCAGTACCTGAATTAATTACAAGAAATTATATTGTGTGCTAATAGTTTTTGAAGGTAAATACAAATTACCTGTACCAGTTGATGTGCCATCAGTGGAGTAATACTCACCGCCCTCTGCAGATGAAATGAGGTCATTAAGGTTTACAATTTCGTGGTATGAAAGAACATGCATGATAGCAGAATTAGAAATAGATTTCTCGGCAAGGCCAAAGGTCATATCGTAACCGTAAAGCACAGTTTCATATTACAGAAAGACAGAATGATACGAGTGATATTGAAGTTTTGAAGCAGAGAACTCAGCATCCAAAATGTGCCTTGCTAGAAGCTTTAGTAGAAAGAGGCAATCCAAAGTGTACTTACAAAACATTTAAGCTATTTTTGAGATATTACATAAAGAACAAAATAGAATTAAATTAGATTATGACGTAGGAAAAGAGGATACTTGTATAAGAAATAGTTCAATCATAAAGTGAGCTAAGAAAAAAAAAGGATATCAATTAGAAAATGAAAGGATTCTCTGCCGAAAATTTCAACAATTTAACTAGAATTTTGCAGCATAGGAATACAATACAGCTAGTTTATTTAACTTCAATGTTAATTTGTTTGAAATGGATTAAATATAAAGCGTAGCTTGCAGCAAAGAGCTGAATCTAAAATTTAAAATGAAAATCTAATGCAATAAGAGAAAAGGCAATAGGGCAATTAATTAATACCTGAAAAAACTCAGAGGCTGCATTAGCATCCCCTGCCTTCAGCTTTTCCATTGCCATATCTCGATTAGCCTTTCTTCTCCTAAATCAGCAGAAAAGAAAATATTAATTGAGAAATTCTATAAAATCCACTTGCAATGAGCCTATCTGTATGAATCAAATGACTGATAAGAGCAAAAGAGAGTGCAGTAACATGCCTGTGCCTCTCGTCTTCAGTTGCAGCCTTGCAGGGAATATTACCACCATCAAAAACAACTACTGGAGTGATCTTATAGTGCCGAAGCAGATTAATTCGATGCATAAAATAATTTAGGTACTGGAATTTCTTGTAACCTTCCATATTGAGGCACAGCTCCATGCCACATGAATAAGCTGGAAAAATCACATTTTTGTTAATTTCATATCAGCAAAAGAAGGGAAAAAAGAATGAGATCAGAAGAATCAACGTGACTCGGTGAAAAGTAAATGCAAAACCATTGCGAACAAAATTACCTCCTTTGTGAAGCCATGAATATGCATCAATACCGACCTGCATAGGAAAAAAAACAAATATTTTATATATGAATGTACGAGGTTTATACGAAGAAATGCAGATTAAAAATAAAGAAAAAGAAGAAAAACAAATGTGTTCTAACTCGTTTTCCAGCATATTTCTTGATGTGAACGGATTCAACATAAGGCTTCATGAATTTCAGAAGATTATTGATCCCCATTTTCTACTTTCCGGCAAAATAATTTGTGGGTTTATTAATTTGGGAATAGGGGAGGGTTAGATTGAAATTTTTAATATGGAGAATGGGGATTGGAGGGAGAGTCAGAAATTGGCGGGAAGAAGAGCAAATGTTGAACCAGGGTATCAATTTTATATTTTGATCTATTAGAATCACGCTCGTATCCAGCGCGTGCTCTCATTTACTAGAGAACAATTTGTTTAATTATGAGGTAAATTTCACAAACTCATCCTTGTTTTAGCCAATCTTTGAGCAACATTAAAATTTTAACTCTCATTTTTCTATTCATTTTCAATCACACATTCTTTAATAAAATAATATTTTACATCACATCAATAACTTTTCATTCTTTTTGAACCACACATTTTTCATCAATCCACTATTCCAAAATACATTATTCCAAAATAATGCGACTCAAACACACCCTTATTATCATTTCAGAACAATTTTTCCTTTATTTTTAATCTGCATTTCTTCGTATAAACTAATAAACTCGTCGAGGAAGTTTATTTGGTGGGAGGGACTGTAACGACCCGGGTCCCACTTAACGGGCTGTCCCGGCCGTTAGATCGACGACGTACTGTTCCCACTGTACCAACATGGGTCTTTTCAACATACTTTATCCTCACTTGCATGCTCCCTGAGAAAACTTCTCAGGGGTCACCCATCATAAAATTGCTCCGAACCAAGCACGGTTAATTGTGGAGTTTCTAACGATGGACTTCTGGAAAAGAAGGTGCACCTTGTTGGTATGAGTAGTACCTATCAAATCTTTTAAACTTTCTTGCTCTGGGTATTACGATATAAGCTTTAGACATGTAGATAACCAAATATGGGTTATTTTAGACTTATAAT